TGAAGGTCATCAGAAGTGAGGAACAGAAAATGAAATAATTATTTTAATGTTTAGAGCAGCAGGAACTCTGAGAGGCTGCAGGCGCATCAGTGAGTTTGCGGCCGCTGCGCAGGAGGAGGGGGGAGAGGGCTGAAGCGGAAACTACCGTTGTTAAAAGAAATGTTTAACTTTGAAAATGTGGGCGCAATTTTAATTGTCAAAAACTCCAGCGAACCATTAGTTCATTTTGCTCAAATAGAAATAGAGGCCTGCCTCTAATTCTGGCCCTCCTTCCAATAAAGGCCTGGAGCTTGATGAGCTTGCGTCAAATACAGGCCCGGGCCTGTATTAGAGGATGTACGGTATATCTCACTATTTTTCCTCCTGTAAAATATTTACAAGCTAAGTCACTTCAAGCTGTCTTGAGAAATTATAAACATAAATCAGTTGATTAAATGTGGAAAAAAACGGAAAAACATTTCTCACCCATTGAGCTCACCTTCAAAATAAAACGGTAAACTTATAGTTTACTATTCAACCCCTAACAATATGTTTGATGTAATTTGGCCACTCCGGCAGTCCGTAGATGTCTCCTCACTACACAGGGGAGGGAGGGGTCTGACTCGTGTCTCAAGCAGGATGGAAAAAAGAACTCCGATGGCATTAAATGTCCCCAAATAATTAAAAACCAGGAAGCAAAGTTTAGAGCAGCACATTTACCCAGAGGCTCTCAGATTGAGCAAACTTGTGAGAATACATGTAATAACCGCTTAGAGACGACGCAACATGTCGCTAGCATAGCGGCTAATCGCAAGCATAGCAGTTTGACCAGTTATATCAATATAAAGATATAAAGTCATCTTATATCTTGTTTCAAAATTATACAGATATTTTAAAAATATTGATATATCACCCAGCCCTAATATATATATATATATATATATATATATATATATATATATATATATATATATATATATATATATATATATATATATATATATTAGGGGTGCAACGATACACAAAATGGACGGTTCGGTTCGATTCGATACATTGGTGTCACGGTTCGATATTTTTTCGATACAAAAAAAATTGTATTCATGCCTTTTTTAATTTGTCATTCATTGAAATGTATTACATATATTTGTTTTAACTCAAAAGTACAATTTTGTAAATTAAATGATGCTACAATAGCAAACTTATGTAACTAAGAAAATAATCTGTGGAAAACCAAAGTAGCTTTTTTTCTAAATAATAGCTATACTATAGCCATCCTCTGGGCTATATTCTCAGCAGCAATTAAACAAATAAGGTCCCTATATAATGAACCAATCTTTTATGGAACTCCCCCTCACACTCATCTTCTGGAGTGCTGGCACTTAGCTGCATATACAACAAAAATAACTTAAATAAAAGTTTCACTTAAATACAAACCAAATACCATTTACTCAACTTCCATGTTTTTCTTCAGAAAAATGAGGATGTCAACATGTTCTGCTGACAGTACAGATCTGCTTGCTGTGACAATGTCACCTGCAGTGGAAAACACCCTCTCTCTTGGGACAGAGGTCCCTGGTACAACCAAGTAACACAGTGCCAACTTGGAAAGGTGAGGGCACAAGCTGTGGGCAGTGCTAAGTGGATCTGCGCTCGACAATGCGACCTCAGGCGGAGTAGTTGAACGCAGATCACCCAGATCCACTGATCTCATAGTCAGAAGAAAAATTGATAAAAAAAAAAAAAAAATCCTGTATTGTTCAGTACATATGCGTATTGAACCGAAAGCTCCGTATTGAACGGTTCGATACGGGTACATGTATTGTTGCACCCCTAATATATATATATATATATATATATATATATATATATATATCTTCCGCTACGCTTGCTATTTGAATATTTCATCTCTCCACTGTTTGCTTTTGATTCCCAAAAAACACATAGATTTTCAAAGTTGTCTGAATTCAAACCTGACAGCAGTGGAGCTCGTCGCTGCTGCGAGTGCAGCGGGTTTTCTGAGTCGAATAAAACCACAGCAGGAGTCCGATTCTTTGCATTGTGGACGGGCTTGACTTGGCTTTACTGTTGCAGAATGGCTCTACCAAATTACAAACCAAAGTAAATGTTTTTGTCAACAATTGCAAGAAGGGGAAAGATTGGTCCAACAAGTTATTTTGCAGTTGTTTATAAGTCAAATGATGGAGAGAGTGGTGCAGCAAATAAAAAAGAAAAATGCATGCATGACCTATTTTATGGTTAGAAAAAACATAATGAAGATAAGTTATCTTTTCAGACAGATGGACAGAAATGCTCCAGCTCTGTGGCTGAGAATAGTCACTAAATACAAAAGGTTTGTTATTCACATTAAAAGCAATGAGGCTTAGCTGTCCTAAGAGGCTTTCCAGCCTTTCTGCAAAATAGATTTCAGAAAACAGATTTCAAAATGTCTGAGAGGCACTCTGTGTTTTTTGTTTTCATTCATTTAGAAACGAACATCGGGGCCATTAGGGCATTTTTTCTTTATTGGAGAGTCTCAAACTGTAAAAAGTGAAATGCAGGAAGCTGCTCACATCTTTAAAGTGGTGTCTGATTAATACTTTTATTAAGAGAAGGGAGAAAAAAAACATGCACTTTAAAATGGGTTAAACGGCTCAATGTTTGATTGGAGCATGCACAGATCATTTACATCACATCTTTAGTGGTTCATTAGTATAATGGTAACGTGCCGGTTACCTGGTTGGAGAATGGGTTTGTCACAGGCTCAGTGGCATGGACGTAATTTTCACTTTAGAAGTGGGGGGGACATGGGGGGGGGGGGTCTTTACAGTATGCTCTAATGGGAAACTGGCTTCAACACAAACGGTTGTTTTCCACTTGGTCCTAGAGCTCAACCAGTGTCAATTAAATATAGTGTAATATTGTTTTTGGATGGTAAAAAGTGCAGGGGTCAAAACTTGACTTTGGAAAAAGTGGGGGGGACATGTCCCCCCTGTCCCCCCCGAAAATTACGTCCATGCTCAGTGGACATGAGAGTGGATGCTGGCCAGGTTAAGGCTACACTCCCTTGTGTTATGAGCACCATGCTAGCATGGTGAACACATTTCAACATCTGACAAAACAACCTGTGTAAATACAAAACACAGTTATAAGATCATTTATTTTCTTAAATGAGTCTTAGAACATTTTTTTTTACAATTGGAAACTCTTATTTGAGACCCAATTTAGCATATTGGGCAGCAGTAGCTCAACAGGTTGAGCGGGTTGTCCAGTAATCGGAAGGTTGCAGGTTTGATCCCGGCTCCGGACAGAGAATTCTGCTGTTGTGTCCTTGGGCAAGACACTTAACCCACCTTGCCTGCTGGTGGTGGTCGGAGGGACCGGTGGCGCCTGTGCTCGGCAGCCTCGCCTCTGTCAGTGCGCCCCAGGGCAGCTGTGGCTACATCGTAGCTAATCACCATCAGTGTGTGAATGTGTGTGTGAATGGATGAATGCTACACTGTAGTGTAAAGCGCTTTGGAGTCCTTACTCTGAGAGGCGCTATACACGTGTGGGTCATTTATCGTTTACAAAATGTTGTTAGAGCTCAAAATGGATCAGGGGCCCTGATAAAAGAACAAATACAACCCCATAATAAAGCCCTACAATATGAAGACTGTTTTGCTTCACCCACTCTGCCCAGAGTGTAGCCGCGCTGTGATTGGCAGGTTTACAGCAGTACTGGCAGCAATAGCTCAGGAGGTACAGCGGGTTACCCAGTAAGCGGAAGGTTGCAGGTTTGATCCCGGCTCTGACAAGAGGATGCTGCTGTTGTGTCCTTGAGCGGTCTGAGTGACCGGTAGCACCAGCGTTCGGCCGGCCTCACCTCTGTTAGTGTGTCCCAAGGCAGCTGTTGATGTGTGTGTGAATAGGTGAATGACTGATTGTGTTGTGAAGTGCCTTGGGGGGTTGTAGAACCCTAAGAAGGCACTGTACAAATGCAGGCCATTATGGGCCTTCCACTGAGAAGCAGACACAGTCAAAGTAAACCCTCAGTGGTATCCTGATCAGGTTCTCTGCTGTAGGGGGTCATTAAACTGAAAAGTCCATGTTAGAATAAAAAATTCTTAAATAATGATGTCTGTGTCTTTTTAATGCACCATGGACCGCTTCAGCTTCCCGTGATGGAAGAAGGAGGATTGGGAGATGATGTTACCATTTAAGCGTGACGGTGATGATTAGCTGAGGGCTAGCCCGAGAGACAGAAAGTCTTCATGGGGGACAAACATTTTATAGCATGTACGTGCTAAAGAACTCTCCCAGCTGTTTTACATTCCGAGGTTTGACCCTGAGAAGTCTGCATGCATAATCCATTGCACAGCTCTCATCACAGAGTTCCTTTCTCGCTTCCTTGGGGATCGGTTTGGTATCCCCTGGGTTCGAAGGCTTTCTCAGCCACAGACAAGGGTGCCACTGTTCCACTCGTCTGCAGCCTACAAGCTAGGTCTGTCTGCCGCTGTCACGTCTTCTCCTCACCATCTCTTATTGAATTCTACCCGTTGTATACCTGTTCCATCCTTCTGTGTTCTGTATGGATCCCCTCACTCACATACTTCATTCTTTCTTCTTCCCTTATGTCTTTTTTTTGCTCTTGTTTCTATAACTTTTTCTCAACTCAAAGTGTTATGCCTTCTCCTCCCCTGCGCTTCTGCATCTCTGTTCCATTTTCTGTGCCTTTCTGTCTTCATTTTGAGGTACATGTTACTTTCTTTCCTTTGCTGCAGTTACCATGATGCATCTCATCATCTATTTTTCTGACTTTTCTCTCTATGCAGCTGGTTGCTTTTTGAGTAGAATCTCTAAATCCAGATTTTTTTCAGTTTAAGGTCTTCATCACACTAAATTTTCACTCTTGTGTTCAGTCTGCCTCGCCCGTATCTGCCTTTAAGCTTGAGGACGGAGTCAGACATTTGCACTCTTTCCCCTTTGAAGACCACACGGAACTTGATTTATTTAACATGTCCGTTCTCTTCCCTTCTCCCAAGGCTCCCGCCCCCGTGACTGCAGCGATCTGTATGCCAGCGGTCAGAGGGAAGATGGCATCTACTCCGTGTTTCCTCTTCACCACCCCACAGGCTTCCAGGTGTACTGTGACATGACCACCGATGGAGGAGGCTGGACGGTGAGTCAGAGCTGGACACACACTCACACAAACACAAAGCTCTTAGGCTTTATGCGGATCTCCCTAAAGTAAAGTTCATTCAGTCGATAGATGTGTCCAATGTATGATGGCAGGAGTGGGTGGAGCTATGTATTCTTTGAGTAAAACCAATTGAGTCTAAGATATTACTAAAGGCTACATTGAGGCTATCATTTTCAATGTCCACATAAATATTAAAATCCCCCACTACAATGACCTTATCAATATTTAGCACCAAATCACATAAAAAATCAGAGATCTGATCCAAAAACTCAGAGTAAGGGCCTGGTGGACGATATAAAACTACAAACAAGAGTGGTTTTACAGTTTTGCAATCTGGATTAGGAAAACTAAGAATAAGAATAAGATGTTCCCTGAACTTTCCTCATGTAACACCCTTTTCATCTAACTATTAAGGTAGCGCGACTCATGTTGCGAATGACCGCTGTCACCAATTCTTGTTATGTGTCTTACCCACGTATGTCTGATCTTTGAATTGTGTGTGCTGAAACTGAATTTCATTTCTCTGTATGTCCTGCACATGTGGAGAATATGACAATAAATGACTCTCTTGACTCTTGAAATGAACTGTAACTATTAATCTGTAAGGGACTGATTAATAAGTCCAAATGAAAAATAGTTACCACTCCTCCTCCTCCTCGCCCTGTACTTCGAGCAATATGATGATTTAAATAATTTGAAGGAGTCGACTCATTTAAGCTAACATAGTCCTCTTGCTGTGTTCTAAGGTTATAATCGCAGAAGAGAGCTGCAGGGCCTTTTGTTTTTGGAAGCTGCTTTTAGAGCATGTCTGCTGAAAAAAACCTAAAAATCATTCACTTAAAGAGCAAGTCACTCCAAATTAACATTTTTTTTTGCTGATAAACTACATAAATGAGTGTCTGATCGTGCTGTAGACACGTGTCGTCAATAATTCGGCACTTTAGTGCATCTTAGTTAAAATTAAAGTATTCTGCCTAAAACGGTCAGTGTTGCACTGTCGTAAGGCAAAAACTCTGCATTGCATTCAAATTTGAATCTGCCATTGCTATTGGCTAAGAGGTACACTATGATGTTAGATGGTACATTATGATGCCACAATGTTGTGAGTGTGTGTATTTGTTAGCGGCTCCGCCCTCTCGGTCTGCTAGGCAACAGCATTTGTTGCATTTTTCAAACAGGAAGTGGGAGTTGAGTAAGAATCTGGTAGGGGGTGACTTGCTCTTTAAACCCAAATTTAATTTATGTCAAAGCTATTTGAGCTCTTTTCCAAGAACATAACATAATATAAGTCATATTGAGTCTGAAAAGTGTGGAATACCTTCTCCAGGTCAGAGATGAAGTCCTGCCCCATCTGTCGGGGAGTTGTTCACGAGTGAGGGAAAGATGGAGCGTGAGATCTATAAGTGGATTGGTGATTCGTCTGCAGCGATGTGGGAATTGTACCGTTCTGTCGTGGTGAACCGGTAAATCAAGAGCTGAGCCAGAAGGCGAATGTTGATATACTTTCCTACCCTCATGGTCACGAGCTTTGGGTGGTGACCGAAAGAATGAGATCGCTGAAACAAGCGGCCAAAACTATATTTCTTCACTTGTGTCTGGGTTCTCAGGTTTACAGGGAGGAGACCTAAAGGGAGATCCAGGACACGCTGGAGGCTGGGACTGTGTCTTGGCTTGCCAGGGAACACCTTCAGAATCCCCATAGGAGCTGGCCCAGGTGGCTGCGGAGAGGGAAGTCTGGGCGTCTCTGCTTAGACTGCTGACCCACGATGTGAACCCTGGATAAGCAGAGGTCATAGGTAGCATTTGACTGTGTGCTATTTATCAGCTTATGCATTTTTTTTTACCTCATTGTGGTGTAGCGTTGTGGTTTTATGCTCTTTTATGAAAGAGGAACCATGCTACGTATTAATTCGGAATATTAATTTTTAATAAATCAATAACCAAGTTTTATATTGTTCAGAAGACTCAAAGGTTGTTTTCATCGATAAACTGCCGATAATATCTGAGTGTCTGTGTTTCAGTTCAATGAGGAAACCAGTTTGACGATTAAAAGTTTTAATTCTTCAAATTAAACTAATGATTTTGAAAATTGACAAACAGGAAATAACAATCAACATTGGCAACTTTGTGGGACAATCTTTAACAGTTGATATGCTGTTCTTGCTCAAATAGACCTTCTGGTGAATTTATGAAGATTGAGAATGTTGTGAGTTGTGAGAGTGATATGATGTGATTATGAATGCGTGTGGGTGCAAAGTGTGGTGAGATGAGGTGAGATGGATGCGTGTGTGCATCTGATTTTGCTTCAGGAAGAAACAGGTGTCTGAGTGAAAAGTGATGGTTTGAATAAACTTAGGTTTAGTTGGAAAAAATGCATCCAAACGCTAAACACCGTGTGCTGTCTCACCGAACTCTTGTGGACCCTCTTTCGGATCCGGGCCGTGGAGGATGTTGTGGTTCATCCAGATGACACTCAACGGCTGACAGGGAAGACGTAGGTGTCGAACGGAACCGGTCCAGAGTTGCCCTCGGTACACGTTGATGGTAAAGCGTTTTGTCGACGCGCTTTCTTAAGTTAATTCACTCAGAAATCAAAAGACTCGGTAATGAGTCTGCGTTAGAAGTCGCGATTCAGCTATTCTACCTGGCGTGGCAGAAACAGCGTGAGAGAGGGGGGGGGGGGATTGAGCCCATGGGCTCCGTTCCCCGTTAGCGGTTGTTCACACATCCTCTCTCTTTCGTTGTCAAGCACGAACTGCAATCATAAGACTGAAACTTACCAAAAACCTTTCTCTTCTCAAAGCAAACGTGTGCGTCATCAAATGTGTCTGGAGTTTACTGTGGGAAGATGTGTGTGGGTGTGTGTGAATGTTTGTGTGCTTGAGTGTGTGTGAAGGTCAGTACCAAACATTCTCAACACTATTTAAGAATGGATTCATTAAATCTCTTATGATTAACCCAAAGCATAAGAACCATTCATTTGATCAAACACATTTATAATGAGCAAAATGGTAATGGTTACTTTAACATTAAAATCAAGAAAAAGAAGTTTAAACTTTATGTTTTGACTTGGTCTGGGTACAACTCATGGAAACACATCTTCTGGTAGACTGCAGGTGGCTGATGTTATGGTTTCCTCCCAGACTCGCTGGCGTTCAGGTCTTAATCTGTGGGTGAAAGTTCTCAATGATCCAGCTTTGACCCAGCTGAGTCCAGCACCACCATTGTGCCAGAAAACCCATATTTCCTCACATTACAGTGGTTTTCATGCATAGATATTTCTTCTGGCAAAATAAGAAAAACTTGCACCCAAGTTTCAAGTGGACCTGTTTGAAATAAAAGTATCACTTTTAGGAGATTTTTTTGTCATATAGGGAGAGGAATTTGTCTCACTTCAAATGAGTGCTGAAGGAAAAACGAACAAAGCAGCGCGAGACAAAGAAAGCCAGTGGAACTGGGCTGATAGACACAACAAGACGCGTGCAGTGAGTCATTGTGCTTCTTTTGGTGTTTGGTTGGGAAAGAAAAAGTGCCATTGTAGAGGAGGTAGAGTTTCAGAACTGGCTGTAATCCAAAAAGTCTGCTGATGCTTAGCTGCCTCTTCAGATAGAAGTATAGAAGTAGAGCAACTCTGCACATCCAGCTTATATGTAACCCAACTCATCATTCTGCTCAAAGTTTGCATTAAAGTATCTCCTTCATAACAATTCTGACCTTCTCGTGTATCCAGTTTTGTACATTTTATGTTCCCATCTTTGTGAAATGATTTCAGACAAAGGAACATATCCTTGAAGAGAAAACATTAAGTTAGAGTTTTTTCAAGGCGATTTTATTCATGTGCTCAAGCATTTTTGTCAGTTGTCCAGATTTGCTTCATCCTTGTGTAAATCTGACTAAACAGAAAAAGTGCTGTGTCTTCTGGGAGCAGGAACCAGTGAGATGAACAAACATTGATGCAAAGCTGTTTAAAGTTATATTTGGAAATGGACTTTTGATGGATCACTGTACACACACACACACACACACACACACACACACACACACGCACGATCTTACCGGTTGGAGCCACTTATTTCCCCTTGATCAGCAGGGAAGAAAGAGCAGCTATTGGAAACTGGACGAAGGCCTCGTGACACTTTAAAAGTTTTCCCACCAAACTAATTCAACTGAAATCAGAGCGCGTTTTCAGCAGAAGCTCCAATGTCAAATGATTTGGTTCTAGAATTGAAAGACTCTTTGCTGGACCAAAGGAAAGGAGCTATCAGAAATAAGGATCTAAAGGTGTTTTCAAAGAGATCAACACCTGGTGCAATGTTATGAGCACTATGTAAAAAAAAGCATGGTAATTTCACTTTATTCTGCCTAACTGAGGACAACTTCAACACTTCACTTCAATGTGAATTACAATTCTAATTAGCAAAGAATAGCAAGAGTTGACTATTTTGCATGTTGCTGCAGTTCACCACTCTCTTAGTAAAAGAGGCCGTATGAGATGTTTTTCTGGAGCACGTCTTTTTGCCAAATTGCCTTAAATGCCTTTGTCTGTCATTGGCAACCAATAAACCTCATCAAATCACTGTGACTGACCCATTCTTATTGATTGGATGAGGTCAGCTCTTTTATTAAACCTGATCCATCCAAATGCTGCTGTGACCATATCTCCCCCTTCTAAACATATCCCTCTCAGTGGACGAATCACATGTTCTCAGCCTGGAGCAGCTGCACAAGAAGCAAAGACAAAGCTGGGCTGCCTAGTGTAACGAACGGAATGTTCTGTTTAAAAACTGCGTTGTTTTACGTGTTATGTTTAGAATCTGGTTCTGTTCTTGTTGGGAAATGCTCGTGGGTGACGGACCTGTTGTCTGTGAAGGCAGCCTGTCTTCTGTCGGCTTGTAGAGGTGTCAGAGAGTTGCCTCTGCAATATGTCTGCACATCGGCAGCCTGTGTTCACAACAGGGAGAAGAGAAAGTGATTGGGAG